GTGTCACTTTAGCCTTTTAATTTTGTTTCAAAAAAGTGTCATTCTACAATCCCAATGTAATTTTGGACATTAAATCTATTTTTTACCCTTTTGAATAACCAATAGTATTTTACTTAAATTATTTTCATTTAATTAAACATACATTAAATAGGGATATATTAGTCTATTATATAATTTTCTTAATTTATGTGCAAAGAGTTAAAATGACACTTATTTAAAAACAGAGGGAGTAATTTATTTTTCAATCCACCGTCGGAAACCACCAATATGTATTATAAACAATTTGGGAATAGATACTTGAACGCATTATGATGATTGTGACTTTATGATATCTAATTAATATGACAACTATAAACGACCGAATCAAATCATATCAAGGCTTTGTATAGTAACGTGCACTTCTTCTTTTTTTTGTGACATCAAACTTATATTTAAAACTAAGTGTTTTTCTGCACAACATGCAGTGATAAGTTTTTTAAAATTTAAATTATATATAACACGAAATTTATTAGTATTATATATTTTATTACTTTAACCAATATTTTAATATAAGTTTAATTTAATTAATCATAAATTCAGAGAGAGAAAAAATTAATTTTAAATTATATTAAGAATATATATATGTAATATATTTAAAATCCTAATCTTAGATAAATCTTTTTATCTATTTATTTTGGTTAAATATATTAAATCAACTTGTAGAAAATTACTAAAAAATCATATAAAAATTTTCTAGTTATCAAAACTAAAACTAAAAATATTCATAAAATATTTAGATAGCTAAAAGAAAGTAATGATATTAGGATTAAAATTTTATAATTTTTATAAAAATTGTAGAAATTTTTATTAGTAAAAATTATATAATTATAATAAAAATTAAATGATATTCCAAAATTTATAATGTTATATTTGAATATATTTATTCTGATGCTTTATGATTTATTACCATATTATAAAATTTTTACCAAGAATATAAATAACATTAAATATAATATATAAGTTATTGCTATATTTTATAAAGTTTACCAAAAATATTTATTATTATTAAATGTAATTGTCTATGTCATATTAAACCATAAGTCATGTCATATTTTTTATATGCTATGTCACACTAATTTAGTGAAAATGATTGTAAATACGACATGTGTCAAAATCACTTTGTAAATAATATGTCTAGGATAAATTTTAAAAACATGGAAATTTACAACTAAAGCAGAAGATCCCGGAGGCATAGAGTTTTTTATAGTAACGTGCAGTTCAATTCTAATAATAACAAACATATATATGTGCTTTCTTTATCATTAACTGTTGTGTGGGTTAAAACGTTATAATTCGGAGTATATACAACTATCCCACTACATGCGAATTTAGGGTTTAGATAGTTTGATGAATTGTTGTTGTGGACACATCTATAATGTAAATAAATCCATGTTACGTATTATCAATTACAAATATGTAAAGTTATTAGGGGTTTTCTTGCATCATGCACATAAATAATAATTTTAATTATACTGTTATGTTATTTTCTAAAAAATAGTTTATATATTATTCTAATTATTTTTATAATTCACTTTACCAGTTTGAAAAAACCATAAATATTTTTTTTGGTTATTTTGATTTAATTCTCCAGATAGATTTTATTTAACTTTAGACATAGTTAAAAAAATACATTTTATAATGATAATTGTGTTTATATTATGTTGTAGTTAATGATATTTAGTTTAGATATGCTTTTTAGTCCTTAGTTTTACATATGTTTGTAAATCTTAATATGTCTTGGATTTTTGTTAGTTTAGTCAAAACACGCTTAAACTGGTAAAAATTAATATATTAATTGAACTAATGAACCAAAATAAAATTTGATCATTTAACTATCAACAATTTTTTTTTTTTAATATTGCTTTAGTTTTGTATTTGTTAATGTACACTTACAATTAATTTTGATAATATATATATATATATATATTCATTTATTTATACAAAATATGATATAATATATGTAAGAAATAGTTGTAGTGGTACTTGGTTTATTTTTTATCACTGTGGTGTATGTAATTTATTTTAATGGTGATATGAGTTATTAACTATTAATATATATATATATATATGTATATATATATATATGTATATATATATATATATAATTTGATGCCAAAAATAAATATGTCTATAGAAAATTTACTTTAATGATGATATAAGAGTAATTAGTCATTACCATATTAAAAAAAAATCTTGTCAAACATAGAAATCTGTATAAAAAATTATAAATGTCACAACTAAAATGATGCTATGTCATATTTTTCTAAAGACATGTCATTTTTTTTTCTTGTTGAGAATGAATGTAGTGATGATACATATACAAATCAGTTCGTAAATAATTTTTAGAGGATTCTCTGTTTTAAACAAGCTATATTAATTTTATTAGTTAGTTCATATATCAGAAAGATGTCAATTAAACAGACTTGGAATTATAGAAGAAAAAATGTATCGCCCAAAACATGTTTTTGCTCTCAAACTAATTCATAATAGTTAAGTTGACCTATTTAAACTTTATTAAAATAATTAATAATAGTTATATCAATTTCCTACATATATATCAAATAAATAAATATTTAAATTATAACATCAGTTTTTCTGAAAACAAATTTAGAAAATATATTTGTTTCAATTTTGTTTTTTCATTGTTCTTTTTTCAAAAACAATTTTCCTTTAAAAAAATTGGAATACCTTCCTAACTCTGTATGATATTTTCTTAAAATTTAAGTTATATGCTTACTGAAAAATATTACTAAATAAATAGAATATATTTATAAAATTTACAAAGATATTGATAAAAATATGTATAATATTTTCAAAAACTTAATGAAAATTTTCATAAATGTACATCATTTTGAATAAAGACATAAATATGGATAAATTATCTTCACTCGTGTATCATTATGAGAGAATAAATGAGAATAATATATATAGTAGCATATAAAAATTGAAAAACTACTATACACAACTGCATTTGATGTTAGAGTTTTTATTTGAAAAATTTTCATTAGTTTTACGAAATCTTATCTAAAAATATTAAAATTATATTTTTATAATTAAGAAAATTATTCATACTTCCATCAATAAAATTATAAATTCATATAAATTCCGGTATATTCTATTAAAGAAAAACTTATAAACGAAAACACTAAAAAGTCAATAATAAGTATAAAAATATATTTCAAATATTCTCTTTTGGAAAAAAAATGAGGAGAACCATTGTCTCAAAATATGAACTCATTTTGAACAGATTAGTTATACTATTGGAGATACCCTTGAAAATAGATTCTTAAATTTAAATTTAGGAATAATATCATAGATATCTAATTTTAAATACCTTACTGAATCAAAATTATATGTACATTTAAGAAGATATTCCTAATTGTGAAATATAAATTTTATAAAGAAATTCTATATATTTAAAACAAAAATCATAAATTTTAGGAAGATGATATATATGTTTTAGATGTGCATATATAAGTCAACTTAATAAAGATGTCATATATATTTAGGATTATTTTATTTAATATACATACAGATTACATTCAAAAAGTCTAATCACATGAAAGCATTCTTGAATTTAGAAAATGGAAATATAAAAACTGAGGAAGATATCATACATATTCAAGAAAGTCACTCTAAGCCATTTAAAACCGTTTTCCAAACAATTATCAATTTTTGTTTCTAAAAATAGTTTTTGAAAAGAAAATTTGAAAAAAATGATTTTTATTTTTGAACATAATGTTTTCAAGGAATTATCATTTTCGAATACTTTGATTTTATTAGTATTAGATTTCCAATATTTATCTATTCTATAATTTTTAAAATAGTTATGTATAATTATAAAGTAAGAATATAATTGTCGTAGATACTTTTCATGAAAACTAATTTGAATATTTTAATTTTTCGCTATTTTAACTTTTGGAAGATATTTATGGAACAAAAACTTAAAAACAACTGTTTACGAGATTTACTCATTATAGAATCCTTTTCATAAAAAAATGTAGTCATACTTTTACAATATTAAAAATTATGATAAAAAGTTAAGAGTATACAAACAAAGGAAAACAATATAAACAATATAAACGAGATTTACATTTTTTTGTCAAATTTATGAAAAAACAATCTTTTATCTCAACTATATATATTATTTTATATTTTATCTGCTAGCAACTCTTGTAACTTTTAAACTGAATATTTATATGTTTCAAAATTATATTTTTAATATATTCTATTCAAATATATATTTTAATAAATAATATACATATATATAATGTGATTTATTAATATATTTACAACAAATTATCCAGATTAGGTTTTAAATAAAATATATTGTATTAACTTTTTCGCAAAAAAAAAGAAGTGAATTTGTTATTTTCTTGAATTAACTGTTATCTTTTTATGAGACGAAAACAAGAAATATACATATGAAATTTAAAGTATAAGCTATTATTTAATCACATGGTTTATATTTAGTCAGATATTAATTTGAAAACCTAAATATATAACACAAACGCTATTATTTAATCATATGGTTTATAATTATATATATAAATTTAGTTAAAAATAGTTAATAACAAAAACTCAACATATCTTTTTGTTATATAAATTTAGTTAAAAAAAGTTAATAACAAAAACTCAACATATCTTTTTGTTATATATAACAAATAGATATATTTAATCATATGGTTTATAAATATTATATATATATATATATATATATATATTTTAGTTCAAAATCTATATAATAAAAAACTCAACATATCAGTATGATAATTCAAAGAGAGATATTCTACTTTGTTGTCCCCCACGAAATATGCGTTTCGTTGAAAGGGAGACCATCTTTTTATAATAATAATGTAAAAAAAGGAAAAACAAATTGTTTATAAAAAGGAAAAATAATTAAAAAAGGATAACAAGAGAGTGGAACAGCATTTTGCCATCGAAGACACGGTATAGCCAATCGTCTATAAAACAAGTCCCTTCCTTCAACTTCCTCCACCATCTCTTCTTTTACAAGTATGCCCTTCACCTTCCAGTCTCTCTCATTTTCCTCCTAATATTTCCCTTCTTCCATAAAAGTTGCATTTCTTTCCTCCGTTCTCGAATCTAAATCCGCCATGGAAGTTGCCGTTCTTCATCCTCGTGATTGTTTAACCGATCCTTTCTCCACCAGAAACATCCTTACCCCTCCTACACAACGTCCTAACAAACCGACACCCAATCGCCGTCGTCGAAGTCCGCCACGTCACCAACCGGAGACCTCTCCTCCTCCACCAAAGGGATCGAAAAAGAAGAATCTCAACCACAACAGCCATGTTAAAATTTTGAAGCGCGGCGAAGAGAAGGTACCAGATCTGACGGTTGAGAAGCCAGATCTGAGATCTAACGGTCAGATCAGATCAGATCCGGTGATGATCCCGTCTCAGAACCGGAGATCGACCCCAGCTTTGTTTTACGCTGGTCCCGTCACATCGACATCTCCGCCGCCGAGCGAAGTTCCCTTACCCGCGTTCTTCGCGAAGAGAAGCGTCTCCGGGTTCAAATCCGCCGATGCAACCACCGATCTGATCAGAATTTTGGGCTTAGATATTTGATTCGAGTAATGTCGGATCTTCGGTCTAGGAGAAAAATATCTTCAGATGATGAATCTAGGAGGTGCAGAAGAAGACATCTTCGTTATGAAACGTTAATTCGAAACTTTCTCTTATTTTTTCAAGGGGGAAGATCGAAAATAATTTTTTAACAGGTCTTTAGGTTCGGTTCTATGTCTCTCGTTAGTTTGTGTATTGTGTAGCTTTCCGTCTTCGAATAATTATTATCTGATTAGTGTCGTTTAATTTATGTTTAAAGTAGAGATGTCTTGTTCTTACGGTTAAATGGTATCCATGTAATAATCTTCCAGTCCCGAGTATTTCTTCTTTTGTAATTTTCTAATCTTATTATTGAAGTAGCTCTTTTTATAAAAGAATCGCAATGAGATGTTTGGGAAGATGTTGAATATGATGATTGTGAAGATCTTTGCAGTTTGTTTTGAGACAAAGTGATCGAATTGTCGTAGAAACTCTAACAAGCTATGTAATGAAATCTTTGTGACTTCATCAGATAAGTTCAGTTGGGGCTCCTAAACTTGTTCGATCCGACAAATTCAGGATCCGGATGCGTTTTCTAGCCGTTTTTTTTACCTATTACAGGAATTCTAAATTGACTGTTTTTTAATACATCAAAAATGGAGCTCCTAATCTTGTTTAATCAGAACGCCGTAGCTCTCTTTAAGCCCACCTCTCTCTAAAAGCCCTCTCCACTGAAAAAAACTCCAACTCTGGCTCGGTTTTTCGGTGCAGGAGGTCCTATCTTCACTCTCCTTTCTCTTTGTATTTCTCTCTATTTACTCTTTCCTCTAGATTGATATGTAGATTATTCTGTAGCTGACGGTTCTGCACCGGAGTCCTTATGGGTCAAGGATGGTTCAGTCGGCGGTTATTGAGGAACGGGAAAAGGTCAACTTTTAGGGCTAAAGGTGGTCGCCGGATATGGTTTTCAATTTTCAGATCACCCGTGTTCCTTCCACGGTGGTGGTGCGTGACTCAGTGGGTGACCTTCCCCACCGATCTATCCTCGTGTGGTGCGGTGTCATGAAAGGAGGTGTGGTGTGAAGTTATGTGGAAAAGGGTTTCGTTTTTTGGCTCTCAGTGACGGCGCGCCGCTGAGTCTCACTTACTTTAAGTTGTCAATTGGAGAGGTGCACCTAGCTTTCAGTATGCGGTGGGGCTCTATTTCCCAGCACCCGCTGCTACGAGCCACACATCCAAACCATGATTACTGTCCGGCCAGACTTCTGTCGGGTCCGACTTTTTGCAGTATGTAGTTCTTCCTGTCTTTCAGGCTATAGGAGCAAGGCACTAGTCCTGGTGGAACTGAAGCTAGTTTATGATATTCACCGTCCGGTGTTGACGTATTTTTTCATGTCCGGCACTCTCATTTCAGGAGACAAATGATGAGATTAGCTTTAGTTACATTGGGTTTCATTGTTTTGGCTCATTGTGGTCCATAGATGGTTAAGAGACAATGCTTTCTAGTTTAGGGAGAGTTTATATGCTCATTGGGTTGGAATTACAACAAGATTAGTTTAGGTAGCTTAGGATCTCTCTAGTGATTTTTGGTGATACTAGAGTTTTTTTTGTTTATACGTATGGTTGAACTTGAATCCCATGTGATGAAATCAAGTATTCCCAGAAGTTTGTTAATATGAAGTTGTTGATGAGTTGAAAAAAAAATCTTTTTCGATCGGACAAGTTGAGGATCCGGATGCGTTTACTAGCCGTTTCTTTGACCTACTACAAGTCACAAGGCTTTAAATGAGGGGATTTCTATATTGACTGTTTTTAATACATCAAAAATGATGTTCAACTTTTTTTTTTGATACATCAAAAATGTATTTTATTACTCTAAGGGGGCTTATTTTATTATGACTTGGGAGATTTAGTTTTTATTAAAATTTCTCTTTATTGTATTTAGTATTTATAATAGTTCTATCGAATCCAACCTTATTAAATTAATCATTTATTTAAATTATTTAAAAAAATTTCTTTATTGGAAAATAAGGATTTCACTCATAATATTTGATTATTATCGCGAGTGATTTGCAATTATTAGATAATTTATTGTATAGTCAAAATTCATGTAAAAAATACAGTACCTGAATTATAAGATGCTTTTTTTTAAAACTTACGTTGTCTGACTCGTCTTCATTAGTTTTGGTAACATCTCCTTGACAGTGCCAAGATTAGAGATATTTGAGTGTCGATTTAAATTCGATAGAGGAGTACCATGTGCTGTTAGCTATGGTGATCAACATGTCTGATCCTGATCCGAGAGAATGAATGTACGTCTCAACTTGGTGTCGATGTGCAGAGTGCCCATTTGCCCTTGGGGTTACTGTAAAATTTATGTCATGTGGAGTTGGGAGTTAAGGGATCTGATCTATTAGTGTAGTCAATATCTCAGTTTAATGTGGTTTAGTCTCAGGTTTATTTTGTCTTGTAAACCGGTGACAAGCTCACTATATAAGCTTGGTATTGTACTCTTTTCACACTAAATAGAAATAAGAAAGTTTGTTACAACTTCATCATCTTCCTTTGATCACAAACACTAAGATGGTATCAGAGCCCTGAGGATTAAACCTCAAGCGATCATTTTCTTCTTTTTTCATTGACCTTGCTGATCGATCATTTGCTCGATCGATCTTTTAAAATCCGTGATCGAAATCTGATTATTCTGTGAGGATTCAAATCAAATCAAGAAACGATGGTTGTTCTTCGAAGATCGGTACGTCGTGGTGGCCGTCAGGCTCAATCTGAAACTCATCAAGCTTGATATGCAGCTCGTCGTACTCCAGTTCCGAAAGATACACCTCCGTCATCTCCGATGGTAACAGAGCTACGTCCAGATCATATTCATTCTTAATACTACCTTACCAATGGCAATAATCCAGGTCTCTCTATCATCTCTGAGGCACTAGATGGTACCAACTATGATAACTGGAGTATTGCTATGAAAATTGGTTTAGATGCTAAGAATAAGTTAGTGTTCATTGATGGATCTATCGTTAGGCCTCTTGAATCACATTATCTGTTCTCGATGTAACTCAATGGTAAAATCTTGGATCCTTAACACTGGTTCTAAGCAGATCTACAAGAGCATTCTTCGATTCAATGATGCTGAAGAGATTTGGAAACTCGACTTCACATCACCAATCTTCCAAGATCTTATTAGTTATCACAACAGATTTGGAGTCTTCTGCAAGGTTCCATAGATCTGGCTACGTACTACACCACTTTGAAGATGCTCTGGGATGAACTTGATGGTGCTAATTGCGTCACTACTTGTCATCATTGTGATTGCTGTAAGGCTACAGAGACTAAGGCAGATCATGCCAAAGTTATCAAGTTTCTCTCTGGCTTGAATGAGTCGTATTCTGTGATTCGAAGCCAAATCATCATGAAGAAAAATATCCCGACCTACCAGAGATTTATAATCTCTTGGATCAGGATTATAATCAGAGGAACATCGCTCCTATATTCCCAGCAAAACAAAGTCGACTTTTGTGCTCTCACTGTGGTACCAATGGTCATACTGCAGACACTTGCTATCGGATTCATGGTTATCTTGTTGGTTTCAAACACAAAGGAAAGCAACAGACTGATAAAAGTTCTTCCAATCCAAATCACAACACCTCTGCTAAACCGGTTGTTGCTCAAGTTGGATTATCAGATTCAGTTTCTAATACTGTTACTAATCTCAGTAAATATCAGATTGAAGGTGTCATTGCATATTTTAACTCTCAGCTGAAACCTCAACCAGCTCAAGTGAATTGCATTGCGTCTTCTTCTTCTTCTGGAGGAATGATCAGTGCTCTTCCTGATATGTCTTTTTCTTCTTCCACATTATGCTTTGTAGGCATGTTGAGTGCTACGAGCAATGCTTTATGTTCAAACTCGTGGGTCATAGACAATAGGGCTACTCATCATGTGGCTCATGATAAAGCATTGTTTGTTGAACTCAGTGATTCTATTACTACCTCTGTGACTTTACTGACTGGTCTTGGACTTAATTTTACAGGGATAGGCACTATACGTCTCACTGATTCTCTGATTCTACATATGTTCTATATCTTCCAGATTTTCGACTAAATCTGATGAGCGTAAGCCAGTTCACGAAATATTTGGGATATAGAGTACTATTTGATCCAGATGATTGTATGATACATGATCATATCAGGGGATTGATGATTGGGAAGGGTGAGCGAATCTCCACCTTATATGTGCTGGATGTAGTGGATGGATCAAATTTGGATGAACTTCAATAACCGTTTGCTTCTTGTTCCAACGTTGTGATTGATGCTGGCTTGTGGCACAGTCGTTTAGGACATCCTTCTATATCAAAAACAAACTCTGTTATAGATGTTCTTGGATTCAAACAAAAGAATAACGAGCATTTTCACTGTGCTATATGTTCCCTTGCAAAACAAAAACGCCTACCTTATTAACCTAAAAATAACCTATGTGGCAATGCTTTTGATCTTCTCCATATTGACATATGGGGACCGTTTTCAGTATCTACAGTTGAGGGTTTCAGATACTTCTTAACCATTGTGGATGACCATACGCGGGTAACTTGGATGTATCTTCTACGCACTAAAGCTGAGGTCGTGACAGTGTTCCCTGAGTTTATTCAGATGGTTGAAATGCAGTATAAGGTTGTTGTGAAGGCGGTTAGATCAGACAATGCGCCTGAATTGAAGTTTGTTGGTTCATGTAAGAAGAAAGGTATTGTAGCTTACCATTCTTGTCCAGAAACTCCAGAACAAAACTCTGTCGTGGAAAGGAAGCATCAACACATACTTAATTTTGCTAGTGCTTTGATGTTCCAATCTCACATTCCTCTTGAGTTTTGGGGTGACTGCATTCTCACTGCAGTGTTTATTATTAACATACTTCCCACTCCTCTTCTTCAAGATAAGTCTCCGTATGAGGTTTTAACTATGAAGAAAGTTGATTATGATAGTTTGAAAGTATTTGGTTGTCTTGCCTATTGTTCTACTTCCCCTAAGAGCAGGCACAAGTTTCAGCCTCGCTCAAAACCATGTGTCTTTTTGGGATATCCTTCAGGCTACAAAGGTTACAAGCTGCTAAATTTAGAATTAAATACGGTTATATTTCTCAGAATGTTACTTTTCACGAGGATATTTTCCTTATGCAAAGGACAAACCAGATACTTATGAAGATATTTTCTCTTCTAGTCATGGAACAAAGAATGTCTCAGACGATCCTTCACCTTCAGTGTCAACAGAAGCTACTCATGTAACAAAGAAAGTTGATCAGATACACATACAAAATTCTTCTAATACTAATAAAGCTGAAGGAAAAAGAGTGGTTGAAAACAAGAGGATTTCTAAACTCCCACCACCTCATCTTTAGGATTATTACTGTAATGTGGCTGAGAGTGATGTTGAAATTCCATATCCGCTTTCTTCTTACATGTCCTATGCAAATCTGTCTGAAGAATACAAAGCATACATCTGTTATGTGGCTCTGTATCCTGAACCTACCAGTTTTACTCAAGCCAAACACTTTGATGAATGGCTAACGGCTATGAATGAGGAACTTATAGCATTAAAAAGTACAAATACCTGGTCTATTTGTTCATTACCACCGGGGAAGCATGCCATTGCTTGTAAATGGGTTTACAAAATCAAG